AGGGTACATGCTATGTCTTCTCACCCCACGGTTAGTGATCTCCAGAATGAGATGCAGGCTCCAGTGTTGTCAGCAAATAATATTTTTTTTAAATTCCTATCTGATCACTCTAATTTCAAAATCATTCATGAGTCTATTTCTATTGCCTATTGTTTCTCTTGGTTATTAGTCAGGAATACCAAAGTCTTTACCAAGGACCCTCTTAAATTTCTGACTCCTCACCACTGGAATGCCACTTAATCCTCTGCTCAGATTCTTAGCTTTCCAGGAGTTATTTTCTACTGGATTTCCTGAGTAGTTGACCTGGACCTTCATAGCTTAAGAGTCAATCAATGATTTGAGAAGATTTTCAGTGTACATTTGAGGGTACCTTTTCTGCTATTCCTTACTCTCCAACACTTTTTATTTTGTTCTGTTGTTTGTTTTTAGACAAGGTTTCACTATATGGTTCAAGCTGGCCTTAAACTTTACTATGTAGCCCAGGCTGGCCTTGAACTTGCAACAATCCTCCTGCCTCAAGCTTCTCAAGTGCTGAGACTACCAGTGTGCAACACCACACCCAGCTCTCTCCAAAACTTTGCTCTGAATTTGTAGCCATTTTCCCTGTCCCACTATCTAACAGCTATCCTCTCGTCCCAGTAACACTGCTACTAGATTTTTTTTCTCCTCTATTTTCTCTAGTACTATCATCAGTATTCTTCCACCTCAAGCATGATTCTACTCTTTGAGAATTAGAGCAAAGGAAGAATTCAGATCACTCTTGATAAAATGCACATCTGAATACTTTATAAATTTGTTTAGCTTCATCAATTCAATCTCCCAAAATGAATTCTCTCTCTACTTAAAAAAATATGAATCTAATTTTTCACAGGTATGGGACCCCTGGTTCTCTGGAGAACTGAGAGAGTAAGAAAGTGCCATTTGCTCATGTCTCTGCTGAGGTTTGCTGCGCTTCCCCACCCAGTAGGGGAGCAGCCTTCTCACTCCAGCCAAACTTGGGAGAAGGCTGTCGAGCCAACCAGAATTTTCCTTTAGATTTGTAGAAGCCTGGGAGACTGGGTAAGGCACCACTGAATGTCCCCAGTCATTTAACCCTTTGAATCTTATCTCCCAAGCCTCACCTTCTCTTAGCCGATCCCGCGTGCTCTTTCGGACACGGAGGCAGACTCTGACCATCCCAGCAATCTTGTTTCCCACTGCCTGCTCCTGACACTCAAACACATTCCTTGCCACTTCGCTGGGTGTGAAATCCATGGTTGCTTCCACTCTCAGCAATGGCTGGGACCTGCAGGGACACCCGAGGACCATCCCAAACTTCAGGCAGCAAAGACGCTCCTTTGGGAAAAACAGCTAGTGTGCTCCTAAAGGAATTCTCACCTGAGCAGAAGTAAGTGTCCCTGGGCCCCCACAGCCAGATCTGTCAGTCCGTCCATTGTGAGGTCCTGGCCCCCACTCAGGGACTGCCCGAAATACTGCAGCCTCGGGGAGAGCTGGGCGCCTGCGATGCGCTGAGAGCAGCAAAGAGGAGGAGAGAAAAGGACAAGGAAAGGACAGGATTGTGTGGCGGAGTCACACAGGGTGGCCTGCGTAGACGTTCTCTGGGCTCCATTCAATTTGTATTCCCACAACTCTTCAAGGAATTAAGGCACCGTAGAACTTACAAAGGGATGGTTTCTCTGTGAACCACCACCTCAAGCTAATACCCACAATTTCCATTAATTATCTAGGTTTCTAGAGAAAACTACAAGTTTTATGGGAAAGTAAAAGTATGCGATTTGCCTCAGCTGTACCCTACTTGCATGGTCGTAATAATGTGGACACTAAGTACTGATCTAACTAAACGTATTGTACAAGCAGAAGTGTGTGGAAGGGAGAGACTGGAGGGGAGCACAGTCCTGGCCCCCAACGCTAAGAAGTTCCCACCAAAGTCAGGACGCAGCAAAACTTTCTTTGTCCATTCATCCATCAGCGACCCCACATCGTGACTCCAGTCAACAGCACCGCGATTAGCAGAGATATGCGCGTGGCCTGAAGTGAGTTCATTTCCTTGGCTCCGAGCCCAGGAGTGAGACTGCTGGATTATGGGGTAGGCTTGCGGTTTGCATTTGAGGAGCTTCCGTACTGCTTTCCACAGTGACTGTCCTGACTTACATCCTCACCGGCAGTGGATGAGAGCTCTCCTTTCTCTGCATCTTCATCAACACTTGTCATTCTTTATCTTTTTGGTAATAGCTATTGTAACTGGGGTAAGATGACATCTCTTTGATATTTTGATTTGCATTCACTGAAAGATCAATGATATTTAACATTTTTTCATATATCTCTTGGCCACTTGTATGTATTTTGACCGATATCTGTACAGATCATTTGTTCATTTTAACTGACAGATACACACACACACACACACACACACACACACGAGGGACTATTACTCATCCAAAAAAAGCATGAAGGCTGGGGATTTAGCTCAGTGGTTCCGTCGCCTGCCTTGCAAGCACAAGGACCCAAGTTCGATCCCCAGTACCAAAAAAAAAAAAAAAAAAGCATGAAATCCTATCATTTGTAGCAATGTGGATGGAACTGGAGGACATCACATTAAGTAAACAAGCCAGACACAGCAACAAAAATGCCACATGTTGTGAATCCTTTGCAGAACTAAAAAAAAAAAACTGATGTCACAGAAGAGGAGAGTGCAATAGTGGTCGCTAGAAACTGAGGAAGGAGGGCAGAAGACACGGACAGGTTGTAGTGGGTACCAAACTCAGGCTCAGCGAGAGGAATCAGTTCTGGTGTCCTTTAGTGCAGCACAGCAACTACAGGCTACAACGAATGATGAATGTCTGAGGAGCCGGAAATGCTAGTGACTCTCATTTAATCATTACATGTCATGTACGTGTATGCAAGTCTCACAAATATATTTATCTCATAAATATAATACAAATTTTGCACATCAATTAATTTCAAATGATTTCTAAAGAAACTGTGAAAATAATCATGTTATTTGGACACATAGAAAATAATTGAAGGAGCTGAAAGTAGTCCTCAAGAGAGGGGGAAATAAAGCAGAAATCACAGTGTTGTTTCACTGGATAAGCCTTTTAAACCTATTTTGACTTTGCAAATTATGTGCAAGAATAACACTGAAAAATAACAGTAAGTAAAAAAAGTAAGTAAAAAAAGTTTTAAGTGATTTTGCTGCAAATGTAATACCAGTTAACTGTATACTTTAAAATGGTTAAGACAGTAAATTTTATGTCATGTGTATTTTAGTATATTTTTCTTTAGAAAAGTGGTTGTTCGGCCGGGGATTTAGCTCAGTGGTTCCACCATATGCTCCACAAGCGCAAGGACCCAAGTTCGATCCCCAGTACCAAAAAACAAAACAAAAGTGGTTGCTGGAGTGAGGTGTGTAGCTCAGTGGTACAGCATGTGCTTACTACATGCAAGGCCCTGAGTTCAACCCCAGAACCACAAAAAGATAAAAATGTTATTTTTTTCAACTGAAAGGAATGTTGGAGAGGCATGAGATGCTAGAAATGTTTGATATCTTAATCTAGGTGGTGGCCCCACAGAGTGAAGAGGCAACCTATAGAATGGGAAAAGATTTTGCCAGCTACTCCTTAGGTAAAGGACTAACAACTAGAATATATAAGAACTAAAAGCCTGAAGTGAATAGACACTTCTCAGATGAAGTAGTACAAATGGCCAAGAAATACATGAAAAACTGTTGGATATCATTGACTGTTATGGCTGTGTCTCGATGTCCCCCAAAGCCTCATGTGGTCATAGGTAGGGCTTTTCAGAGGTAGCTGGATCTAGGGTGTGTAATGCTGGGATTAAGTCTGTGATGCTGGGAGTAAAGCTGTGTGACTACTAAACCAGTCCACTGACTGGTTTGGCGCAGTTCTGGGTGTGGATAACTGGAAGCCCCACCCTGGGTATGGGTGGCCCCACTCAAAATGCTGGTAGCCTGGAAGAGATAAAAGGGAGCAGTAGGCCGCTGTTGCTGCTTTGCTACTTTGCTGCTCTGCTGCCTTCTGCCTGCCCTGCTATGCCATGGACTGTTTCTCCTCTGCGATGCCCCTCTGCCTTGGAACCAGCCAACTATGGATTGAAACCTCTACAAACTGTGAACCAAAATAAACCTTTCCTACTTTAATTCTGGGTGTCAGATATTTTGTCTCAGCAACAAAAAGACATTGACCATTTGAGAAAAACAAATTAAAACAACACTGAGATTCCATCTCACTCTATAAAGAACAGCTCTCTTCAAGAAATCAAACAATAACAAATGCTGGAAAGGCTGAGGGGGTGTTTCTCCACTGTTGGTGAGAGTGCAAACTGGTACAACCACTATGGAAATCAGTATGGAGAGTCCTCAAAAAGCTAATAATAGACATTCCATTTGACCCAGCTACTCCCCTTCTGGAGTTAAAGATGCCATAGCGCAGTGACACATGCATATTCATGTTTATAGCAGCACAATTCACCATAGTTAAATCTTAGAAGCAGCCTATTTGTCCATCAAAGGGTGAATGAATAAAGAAAATGTGGTGTTTATACACAACAAAAAGTATTACTCTGCCATAAAGCAGGATAAACTGGAGTCATCTGTAGTAAAATGGGTGCATCTTAAGACCATAATGTTAAGTGAACTGAAGCAGATACACAAGCTTGAACATCACATGGTTTCTCTTATATGAGAAATCCAATATATAAATAAAGTGCAAAATAAAAGGCAAGGGAAAAGAGAGAAAGAAAAGTTATTGTAATTCAGGATGGCCAATGTATCTAAAAGTGTACCTCAATTCAGTATAATTGTTCTATGTGTTTTATATGTTTCATTGCCATAGTCTGGCTATTAATCTATGTTTATGATAATTAACTTGATAAAGACTTAAATAATTACATGTATATTACTCTGTTGGGAGGTTGTTTGGCTTGGTTTGGTTTGGTTTGAGACAGGGTCTTGCTACATAGTCCAACCTGAACTTGAACTCACTATGTTGCCCAGATTGGCCTGGAACTCACAGTGATCCTCCCGCCTCAGCCTCCTGAGTGCCAGGATTACAGGCGTGCACCACCACACCCAGCTGAGAATTTTGTTTTGAAATTATGTATAAAGTGGTTTGTGATCCTCCTGCCTCAGCCTCCCAAAGTATTGGGATTACAGGCGTGCACCACCGAGCCCAGCTGTAATGTGGAGGTTTGGAGAACCACAGAGAGTCTGCTTGTCTGAACACTTCAGCCTTCCAGTTTCACTCATAGGAAAAAAGGAAGTGAAAATGGAAGCAGCAGAATCACAAGATTCTTTGACCCATTTCGTATCTGTTTTTTATCCTAAAGTCTGGGTGCAGATGAAATACCCTCCCCTCAGCCCTTCTTTCCTTGGGAGCTGAGGTCCCATGGCATGGAGGGAGGGACCGAGGGCTTTCTCTGCTCATTTCAGACTTGTAAATTTGCACATAAAGCAGGTAACTCTCTTGTAACAAAAATTAAATGAAAACCAATCTTCAAACCCTGCTTACACAGAGAAACGGCAGACACCCACAGAAAGAAGCAGTACTCCAATTAAGAAAAATGCCGGGGATGTAGCTCAGTGGCACCACACCTGCCTTGCAAGCACCAGGTCCTGAGTTCGATCCCTGGTACCAGAAAAAAAAAATAAGAAGAAAAGGAATACATGAGTGATTACATGCATGCCTGTAATCCCAGCACTCTGGGAGGTAGAGCCAGGAAGATCATAAATTCAAGCCCAGCCCTTCTCCAATTTAGTAAGACCATATCTCAAAATAAAAGGTAAAGGGGGCTGAGGATGTAGTTCAGTGCAAAGGCCCTCAGTTCAAGCCCTAGTGGGGAGAAAGAGGAAAAGAGAGAGAGAGACAGAGAGGGAGAGACTGGCTCCTCACTGGCCATGCCCGACAGAAATCCAACTAGCAAGTATTCACAGGCAAGAATACCACCAAGAATATCCTAGAACTCAGGAATGAGACTTAGATGCCCAGATGAACCACAGAACTGAAAAACAAAGCCAAGCTGAAAGGTAAGAGAGCGATTCTGTGACCCCCTGCCCTCCCTCAAGACAGCACTGCACAACACAGAATACCAGGGAGGGGAGTCTACAGCGGCAAAACTGCACTGAGGGCAGATGGTTTCACTTCCCCACCATTCTAAGTCCCTTCACAGGAGGCCCGCTCTGTGTCATCCCACAGGAAACCCTGGGTGTCCCGGCAGAGCTGACCATCTGGAATCAGACGAAAACACAATGGGCAGGCAGGTCACAGTCACAGCTCACAGATGTGTGTGAACCGCCCAGCAGAGGGACCACGCCAGAGAAACTAGTGAGCAGCACCCCCTGCAGGAAACGCAGTCCGTGGGCCTTCCAGGCTGAGATCCCAGGCCAGCCATCCCACACTGCAAGCTTCTCAGTGAGTCTTCTCCAGACCAGGAAGCACCTCCAGGTCAGGGGTCAACGGAGGAACCATCCACCCCTGCTCAACCCCAGCTG